TTTTGGGAGTAATTATTTTCAACATATTCGTTCTGGTTGGAAGCTTCAAATGAAACTGATTTCTGTAACACTAGAGTTTGTTTACAAAATACCGAAATCATACAGCCTAACGATTTGACTTCAAGTAGAAATCTTGTGAAGAAAATATTTCGATTTCGAAATCATGTGAATCTTCTTTTCGACAAAGTAAGAGTTCAGCATTCAAATACAAAAAATAAATTTTGTTGTTGAATGCAGGAAAAGTTCGGGCACATTGAAGAGAGATAGTTATCTATCAGTAATGTCATAATGTTTGTAACTGCTTTTTACCGCCATATGAAGCAAGTCTTACGTGTTGATCAAAACGTTTCTTTATTATTACAAAATCCGCTTTATGACATTCTTTGTTATCGTGGACGTAAATTTTGTAGTAATGATGAAAAACAAATCGAAGAAATTTGATAGAGAGTAGAATGATACAATGTTGGTGTAAAGCATACAATGAAGAAGGTTAGGCTAACAAGTTGAAGTAAATTTACTCGGAATGGAAGTAGAGATGAGTTGGTGAATATGAAAACAAACGTGTTTTAAGGGGAACAAAGTGAAGAATAGGCCAATTTAAAGAAAGACAGACTTGGCCAAGGGCTCTTTGGATTCGCGGTATAGCAAGAGGAGCTAATAAAAATATGATTTAATCAAAAAATGCTTAAATTCAATTGGATTGGCTGCTGCTGGCTACTAGCAATGAAAGGCTTATTGCGCAATTTAAATTTGCATTTGTTGAAAGTTTAACCGAAGTGCTTTCTTCTTCAATACCCTTACTTTACTTACTCATTTGCTCGAGAGTTTCATTCGAGTATCCTTTGTTAGACGCTTTCTTTGCTCAGCAAGCTTGCAAAGAAATATTCTAACCTCGTGAAAAGTTATCACCCTCAATTCTGTAATGAAATTTAAATTTTTTTGAAATGAAAGAAGTCATACTTCAATATGACTGCTTCAAGTAGAAGTAAAAAGGATAAGTTCAAGGCCTTTCTTTCTCGATCTCATTTTGCGACACTCTTCAAATAATAATTGAATGAATTTTGCCTCACAAAATGATCTCTAAAACCACTCTTTTTTTTGCAGTTTCAAAAATATGTAAGTAACTAAGTGATTTGTGGACAAGAATGAGCATTTCTTACAACTTCGTAACCAGAAGAATAGATGCAAAAAAATAATCAAATGGCAAAGCATCAGAATAATGTGTCTATTTCTAATCCATAACTTGGAGAAGTGATGACAGCATAGCTGAACTAAAAACTGACCTGGAATAAATTTTCAGGGCATAACTGATCTCGAATAGCTCATAAATTACAAATCAGAAATGATTTTTAAATTCATGAGTGAGTATATTGGGTATTATTTACTGAGAAAAATTTGTGACTTCACTAATATTAAAGATGAACTCCACAAGTTTTACAGTAACACGCAAAATAATATTATTATTAAGAAGACATTCAGTAAAAAATTAGTGTGACATATACTTTTCTTTCACAATTTTCCTTTCTGTATTATTGTATTGCACTGCACATGAATTGAAGAATATAATGTGCTAAAGGGAGCTAAATAACATAATCAGTTGAAATTTTCATTCAGTGAATAAGAATAAGATGAATGGCTGAGCTCAGCAGGGATGCTGAAACACCGAAAGAAAGATAAATAGTTGATGAGAAAGTGTTAAGCTTGATAAATGATTGATATCAATAATTGCAGTCTACTTCAAAAATGCAAATCAAGGGATCACACTCGGAGGGGGTCCTACTGTTCTTTTTTTACCTTATTGTGGCTAAATTTTCTACCACCTACAGTGTGATGATGCTGTCATCCGTGATTTATTCCTAAGTCAATTATTATATTATAATATATTTGAGAATATTAACTGTGCAAATACATTAGCTGTTGAATGCGAAAACGATAATAGCAAGCAATTTTGAACACAAATATTGCACCTAACTTACAAAACGTATCAAATGGAGTGAAAATTATCTTCAAGAATATAAATAATTATTTTTACATTAGTTTAAAAAATAAATTTATGTCATTATTATACAATATAAAAAGATGAAATGATAAATACTTTCCGTGTTTTGCAAGAAAACAGCCTTCGCACAATCGCCATTGTTTTCTTATAGAGTAAAAAATTAAACGAATGCAAATATTTTTCTATGAAAGAATAAAAAAAGAGACTGTTTTTTAATCAAAAATTTTCTCTGATAGCCCAAATTCAATATGTCGCAATTGAACTTACACACATTTTGTATTTATATTTAGCAAGTAGAATAATAATATTTCTTCTTCCACATCAATGCGCTTCATTATGCGTGAATAAAGCACAGAAATTTTGCTTTGCTTTGAAATAACTTTGAAAACTTCGAAAAATAAAAATAAAAAACTGCCAAAAATCAGCAATCAAGCAAGAAATGATCGTAGTACGTAAATTTGATAATCGACTTCGTCACTTCTCTGTTCTTGGATGTGCTCAGGATTGTAATCACTGAAAAAGCATTTAAATTCCCTAAGGTATTACTCGTTTCCAGCCTGCTCATTTCTTTATTATTTGTTAATTTTTTATGCAGAAGGTACCAAAGGAATTGACAAAGTTAGATAAAAAAGAGCAAAGAATGGATCAGTGTTGAGGACCGTATCACACACAGTATAATATGCATAGCCTACACTTTAAAGTTATAAAAGTATTACAACTGTGCTGTTTAATTCACTAAACAATACTAGTTGATCAGTTATTTGACAAAAATTGCTTGTTATGTTTCTACAAATTTTTTCCACATAAATGTGCTTGCAATGGCGTCTTCATAGATTTTTTTTCACTCTTTTTTACAGATATTTTAACGACTTACTTTACGATTTTCGCCCAAAAAACTACTTTATCTTCTTTGTTACAAAAGTTACAAATGTCGGTAATTGGTACGAAGTAAATAATGAAAGAAGAATGAATTTCATTACTGAGCTTTACTTCGAATTTACAAACTGTTATCTTTCCAGGACATTTTAATCAGTTTTTTAGTACTATCGATACATATGCTCACGTAATGATAATAAAAAAACACAATAACAACCACGCAAAGCTACCAAATTATGCTGCAACTGACTTCAATATTGCGTGGGATCATTTCGGTAAGAAAATCTGTAGACCAATTTTCTGCTTTTTTGACAAATTTTCTTTTTCCTCCGTGAAAACAGTTTATCTTTCTAATGCAATATCTTTCTCCACCCGTAATTTTTCATCGCATACAGTAATTACTCATTTTGTTTCTTGCTGAAAAATTCTTTTGTTACAGCTAATGTCTGTCGAGTCGTGTACAGCTTGTCAATAAAATTGGCCTGAAAAATCACAAAGATGAGAGTGACTGATGTGATGTTTAAATTTTTGAATTCAACCATAAATTGTATGAGTCTGATAATATTTTGATCCTCACCACAAAAAAACAATTAATCAGTTAATCAGTTAAATCAGTTAATTAATTAATTAGGTATTAGAAAATAAAAGTAATAGATTTGGCTTCAGTTTCATCGTTCTTCAATAAAATTAAGAGAACATTTTTTGTATATGATATTATGATATTAGCAGTAAATGAAGGTTTCAAAAATGACAAGTGGGCAATAATCCTTTAACACTTTTGAGAACGCATTAAAGTAAAGGTGAAAGTAAAGGTGAGAGACGTAATTTGCTTCAAATAATGAATACAAGTGAATAAATCTCTTTTGTCTCATTTACAAAGTATTATGCAGTAGCATATGGCAAAAATGAATGCGTAATGAATTGGATTTGTTGTGATAGGATAATTGCAGTAGCTGATAGCTGAAAGTATTCATCTATCTATCAATCTATCTATCTTCTTTCAATTTGACTTGATAGAAAGTATTCATAGCTTTTGTGGATTACTGAGAGGTAAAATTAAGTGGTATTCACACATATCTTTATCTTTATCATAAATTATTTCATTTTTGATTAAAGCTTCTCATACATATTACCATCCGAATAGTATTTTGATATGAAGTTTGCACTTGTTATCTTTCTTAGAAAACTGATTTGAAAAATTCGCAGCCAAAACCTTCACAAAATAATTCTTTAAGCAAAAGCTTGTCCTTCAAAGTACATGAGATTAAGGCATACAATAAGTTTCTGTTTCAATTTCATTCTCATGAAATGAATTTTTAGAGTAATACAATAATAATACAATACTGTGATATTGTACTACTACACATAATTAGTATACTTGAGCACACAAGAATATAAAATTTTCACTTGCTATACATTAATCCGAAGACAATATATCCAAAATACAATAAATATTTGTAGTCTGAATATGAAATGAAAACCTTACATTTATTGTTTTTGCAATAAATGTGATACTCATAAATTAAACGATGAAAGCTAATAATTAGTATGCTTTTTCGAAATAATGTAGTTATATGAATGTGATATTTAAGTTTATAAATAATATTTTTAATTCCAATTTTACAATAATCTCGAACTCCTCCCATGTCCTACAAGATTATTATTTATTTATTGCTTCACTTTGGATAATTGCCCTGGAAAAGGTACAAAGAATTTCATAGCTACCTTTTATCATTGTTGCATACCGTTATTCAAGTAAAATTAAGAGAATTTCCTGAGCATAAATTTCACATGCATTTGAAGATTTATAATTTGGTGTGTGTAGGGGACTTTTAGAATTTTTTAGGGAGTATTAGGAAGAATGTTTTCAACTTCTAAAGATATCCGTGAAATTTTTAAGTGAGAAAATTCAGACATGCTAATTTGAAAATTCGTGTTTTTAAAAATATAAATTTGACAGATATGTTACGTAAAAATGCTTCGGAAGAAAACATCTTATATATGAATTTCGTGGATTTTGTAATGATATTGCACCATTTTCATCTCAACCAGTGTACTTATACATTGTTCGATGTTTTAGATATGATCATTGTTTTGTACAAAAAATTTGGGATTAACTAAAGCAATGGCTGGTAACTTCTGGCAGAGTTCTCACTGGTATGTGCAGCACATTTATTTTGAATTGAAATTTATCTTGCTATATAGAAAATTATCAAGTACAGTGAAAGTGTACTCTTTTTTTGCATGTAACTTATTATTTTTTGTTTGCATATTACGCATTTTATTATTTACCACTCAACTTTTTGATTTAAAAATAAAACTTATCTTTTACTCGAGAATTTTTCATGATATTTATGTAATATGTATTTAAATATTATTCAAGGGAGCAGTGGATCTTAGACAAGCAAGACATTTTGCGGATGCGTGGTGAAGATATGAAGTGTATCACCGAAGAAGAATATACAAAACTTATGATATTTTTTTGCAACTGTATGTGGTTTTATACAACATTCATTTGTGATACGTATGAAGTTAAATTGCCATGTAACTAGAATTCAGGAAGATCAGTTGATTGATGTGCATCCGTATCATGTAATTGTGACACTTTTAAGCCAAAAACATCTTACCTCTGCTATATTTTCTCCTTTAATCCTGGATTTATTTCAGTTATTCACGCCATAGGAATGGATTCACAACAACAGCATAAGACACGTATGCAGGTGATTGCGACAGCTTGTGTTTACTTTCGCCGCTTTTATGCTAGGTAATGTTTAAATCAGTTCGCATCTTGCTTATTGCATTTCAGTGACAATTATAAATTATGGTCAGTTTGTATTCGTTAAAGTTTCTAAATTTTTTTAATCTTTATGATCCTTATTTCAGACGATCTTTAAAAGATATTGATCCCTTCCTATTAGCTCCTACTTCTCTCTTCTTGGCATCTAAAGTTGAGGAACATGGCATGATGTCTCATAATAAACTCATACAAGCTACAAATAATGCTTGTTAGTTATTTATTTTGTCAATTTGGTGGTAAATCATTTATATGATCAAAAAAATTCTCAGAAAAGCATACTGTTTATGTTTAGCAACTTTGTTTTTCAAATGTTACATTTGATACTAACTATTAACCACGTGGAACTACAACTGAATGTTTTGCTTTATTTGAGTAATATTATAGAAGAAATACAAGAGGAAAATATCGTTTTTTGCCTTCTCCTTCATTTATGTAATTCCATCGCTGTTTATATTATCAAACTTCCGAATTGCAGTGAAGAGATGGCCTTTTATACAACAAGATCTAATGTTACGAGTGCAACATATCCAAGAAGCAGAATTTTTTCTCTTAGAAATTTTAGACTGTTGCTTGATTGTTTATCATCCATATAGGTTCATTTTTGTATATGATTATTTTGCTAAGGAAATTTAGCCAGCATCTATTTCAATTTAATTTTTTTATTAAGTGATTTTTAAATTGAAAAAATTGCTAGAATTTCCCAACATTTATATCCTAGTGATATGAATTAAGAATCATACACTTTCGAAAGTTTTATATTCATTTCCAATATAATGGATCGAAAAGTTCTACTTTTTATAAAAGTTAGTGGAAAGTATTTTAAAAAGTACAAGCATATTTTGTTTGTAGGCCACTAAATCAACTAATGGCTGAAATAGGAAGGGACCACAAAGATGTAGAAACGATAGCGTCCTATGCTTGGAAAATTTGTAACGATTGTACTAGAACAGATCTCTCACTGATGTATCCTCCACATCAGATTGCAATTGGTTCTTTTATATCGTGTTCAAAATTCTTGGAAAAATTTAGACTTTAAAATGTGCAAAAAGTCAATGATTTTACAAAGCTGTTTGATACGTATAGAACTCTTATGTCACTATTTTCTGTAAATATAAAAAAATAAAAATTTTTAACATTTTCTGTTAATGAATCCTTTCTGTATGTGACTAGATTGTTTTTAGGCCTAGAAATATGATCATGCATCTTAGATTTAAAGTAAAGGACGAAGAATTAATAGAACATGTAGCAAGTATTGCCTGACATTTTATTTACAGCATGTATACTGATAGCATCAATTTGGACAAACCGAGACAGAGAACTAAAAAATTGGTTTGCTGAGCTTGCAGTAGATTTTGAAAAGGTGAATTGATTGTCCATCTCGTACATCTTCACAGAGATTCGTGCGGTAGGGTGGAAATATCTTTAGATTTTATGCTGAAAACTGTTTTGAGAACGGAGTTATTACTTCAGAAACCAGAAATCTTATATAGTCAATGAGCATAGAATGGATCTCCTCTCTTTGAGACGCTTGAAAGTGCTTAGCGCTATTGCAAGCAATAAGAGTGCTTTGTATTTTCGCAGTATTAAAGCACACGAGTTTAGCGATCTGATTTCATTTATTCTAGGTACTGGAGATTCAAAAAACTATTATCAATTTGTATAGTACTTGGAAAACATTTGATGAAAAGGAACAGCTGTTAGTAATTCTGCAGAAAATTCCACGTCCAAATCCGGGTCCGCAGTCGTCGAATGTTGCTTTGATACAGCCTCACCCTCACAACAGCCTTCAAGTTAATAATATGAATATGCATAGCATGGGACCACCACCGATGCCTCCTGTCGGTAATGTAAAATTTGAATCGCACTAAATTTTGCCGCGAATGTTGTTTGTTGAGTATGTAATGTTTAATAATACTGTTTGATTTCTGAGGGCAGTTTTTATGGGAAGAAAATATGTGAAGGATAGCAATGTATTTAACGATGAAAAACCTGAAACCTAATCTTGAAGAGTCAAAGATTCTTGAAATCAGACTTGTTTTGTCTTTGCTATTAAACTTCGGCTGTAAAAATTAAATGGTTCAATACTGGCATGTAAGCAAAATTGCTTAACTGTTTATTCCAAAAAATAAAATGTTTGAAGAGTGCAAAAATAGGCATAAGTTCCATGTATTAATATAGAATAAATTCAGAATCAAATACAAAAGAAACAGTTTTATAGACGATAAGCTTGGGATATTTCTGGTTATTACGAGTATTTCTCATTTTCCCAGACCAATTGCTAGCACTCCTAGAGGAAAATTATGATTTCAATTTCTGTGACTATTTATATGTTCCTAAGCTTCCGAAATACTTCAGTTTACTAATTTCACGTGTCATATACATATTTTATGAATATAATTTTATTTCATATGATTAATCAAACTTCTCATAAGAAATGATAGAGAACACATTGGACTTGCATGCTTCTACTGAGTACGATTGGCTGCAGACGTTTGCGTGGCAAATACTAAATAAACGTATTTCGTAGATTTATAAAGTAAATTATTATTCTAAACGTCCCATTTAGGATGAGATAATCTAAGACAAAAAAGTCCTGACCAGTCACAATTACTGTATCTTGCCGCGATGTTACCTCACGGCTTCAAAATCATTTACAAGTTCTGTCAAATCAGCGCCTTCTGTGATTTCTTAAAGCACGAAATTAACAGAAACAAAATGTCATATTACCTCTGGGCGGCTGCAAATCAGCTGATTCTTCGTGTACCTTGAGGTCCATCGCACTCTAAATATTTGTTATATAAATCCGTTTTCTAGAGGAAAAAATACGGATACCAAGCGCCAGACATTACCTGATTATTTTCAATAAATAATGAATTTCCTTCTGCTGATCTCTTTATGCTTGGCGAATAAGATTCATCGGTCCAAGGCCTCCAAATCTTTCTACTGCCATGTGAAGTGTTGACATTAGCTCCGTGATCAAAACGGAGATTTTGATTATGCTATGAATTTCATTATTAATTCCCTTTTAAATGGATGGAATTCTGTTCTTTTGCAATCACTAAATCTAAACTAAAGGAGAGCCATATAAATATAAATACTGTGACTAACTTTGTTTTTCAAACGTTGCACATCATCAAGTGGAATTTTCTGTACTGAAACTTGTTCGTGATTCTGTGCGATCGCAGTAGGGCTGTTCGAAAATGTATCGACTCCACCTGACGAACTCAGATCCCACAAGCAATGAGTACCAGCGCTTCTAACAGAATGAGACTAAATAATCAGACAATTATATAACAAATTTTCGAGTTGACCAAATGTTTGTTACTTGAGTTATTTAAAGCTATTCCGTAGGCTGAATCTTACGGGCTACTTCTCAGTCAATACCCAATGTGAAGTAGTCAGCAAAAGGATTAATTTATGAACAATAGTTATCAATGTTTGAATAGCAAACATTTGAATCTGAAGAGAGTTAAATTATCGCTTTAAAAACATATATGGCATATACTTAAATAGCTCATACTAAGGAGATACTTTCATCCGTCTTTTTCTAAATTTTTTAATACTATATGGTTCTAGATTCTTCCAACAACAATAAGGTTTGGATGCGCTCAATTCGCCAAAACATGACCTCATTTGTAAACACTTCTTTTCTCAAGGAGAATAATAAGTTTCAATGGCAGAAAAAATTCAATATATTTCGTGGTACCATTATTTCTTCATGCTTTTAAATTAAAATTATAGAATCTAAGTGAGCAAAACTAAAAATCAAAGACCTCAGCATAGATTATTAGTAACAAACCAATTTCACGAAGAACACTTTACGAGCAGTGACTAATTTAAGCCTTCAATTTGACTAATTTTTTCAAATGAAAATACACAAAATATATTATATGAAAAGCTGACGATTAATTTCAGTCTTGTAAATGGATTATATTTGCTGCAGAAAATCATTTCTAACTATTGCTTATTGATACTTCCTTTTGTTTTGTCCATGAATACCATATAGATATACCACATCACATGTTTCAACTTCAATAATACAATAATCAACAGGAAATAAATTCCATGACAAGAACTCTCACGATGACAATAAGTAATGAACATTTTTATTCCAGCCGACGATTTCGGGACCGTCGAAGTTAGTGAAAAGTCAGTTTTTTAGAGCTAGCAGGACAAGTTAAGCAGACCTTTTTAAAGTCGCTGCTCAACATCACTACGCTCATCTGTATAAAATCCGAAAAGCTGACAATGCTTAAAGCAATGCCAAGGAATATTTTTAGACTTTGTGATTTCAGCTACTGATAGAATTTTTTATACTTTTTAAATAGCCATGTATATACTTGGTATGATTTTTTTCCGGATTGCGATTCCCCATATTTTTGACAACTTGCCCGACATTTCAGGTTGGATTGCTGCAAGGTAACTACATGGTTTTTTCGAGAGAAAATATGTTGAAAAAAGAACCGAAATTTGTTAAGACAATAAGAATAAAAATATATTATTAAAGCTTTGCAATGAAAATTGAGTACAATACTTCACGAAAGATGATAATGGGGATTGTTAGGATTTAACTGCTGCGTTAGTTAAGGGTCTCAAAAATGTCAAAAAAATTATCCAAAAACGAATCACAGCAACCAAAGCCAGGATATGCAAGAATTTGAACTCATGATTATATATGCTTACTATTGAGTTTATTTAACTGCAATATGTAGTCTTATCAAGAAGTACTGAACGCAAACAAATTTAACTACTTGTGGTCATCTTCGAAAACGATGCTGACAGAATGAAAGTGATTTTTGCTGAAATTTGTCGGTCCTGAGATTGGGTCTCTAAGTTCAAATGCTTAAACTTAGAGACCCAATCTCAGGACTGACAAATTTCGTGGTATTGAATTTGGAATGAAAGAAACACACTGACAACTTTCAGTCACGACTTGGTTGGACTTAAAAATAATTAGTTTGAAGTTTAAAATAATCGAAGTGTAGTCTCAATATCATTTTAAAATCATTCCACTTAATTTGACCGAATTTTACTCAAAAGCTGTGGAAATGAAAGAAAAAAATATGAAATCTGAAATGAATTTATCAATGTATACCATGCTCTTCCACAGTTGATTACATGAAATAAACGACTCCTATATAATTTGTGTTACAATTTCTCATGCAAAATGAGAAAAATAGTCCTCCTCAACAAAGAGGCACTACGTTGGACGAAAACCAAAGATATCAAACTCGCAAGCTACAAAATCATTTGATGCAATCAGTTCTGCATTTCCATTCAAAAAATACAGAAATTGAAAAAATGAATGAACGACATTTATACATAATCGTGTTCAAAAGGCGATGTTCACTGGAAATGCAATAGAAATTTAAGCAATTATTAGGTAGCTAAAAGCTATTATAAAATTCAAATTTTGGTTTCAAAACTAATCTGCGTAGTGTAAACAGTTCCAGCACCGAGAACAAACACCAACTGGATAATGTGCTAAAACAGATTTTTAAAAGTACTTCAGAGAACCTCTAAAGGATATAACTGCGAAATGATGTCGAAACCACGACCTGAATGACCTCATAGCTATTATATAGGAATACGTAATCTCCGATCACGTACAAAAAGTGTGAGAAATGAAATACTTCATTGAAGTCTCTTATATCTGTTGTTTAAAGAAAAAAAGAAGCTAAAGATACTGCTTGGAACATTTTTACACTCCTTGATACGTCTCGTTTTATAAATTTTCTATGCATGATAAATACGCTTTATTGCTTCAAAGCCTCAAAATACATTGTATTCTTAGAATGTTCAACAAAAGAGTTTACATAAAGTGTTAAACATCAACTGTAGAGAGGCGTCATAATCTTAATTGAATCAAAAACCTCACTGATTAATAAATTTTCATTTGAATGAACAAAATTTGCAGTTTTTTGTAATCACACTCCAAACTTATACCACGTAGAGCAGCCCTACGAACATGAATATTGTAACTAACTTGGTCTTCTAAGCGTCGCATATTATTAGTTGGAATTTTCTGCACTGAAAGTAGGTGTCTGCGATTCTGTGCAGTCGCAGTAAAGCTATCAGAAAATGTATCGATTTCATCAGACGAATTCAAAAGATTCCACAAGCAATGAGTATCAAAACCAGCGCTTCCGAATGGCTGACACTAAACACCAATAAATATTCGAACGAACTGACCCACGTATTGTTCGAAATATGGAAAGCTGTTTTACAATGTGAATTTCGTAGGCCAGTTAATATTCTTAACTGATTTTAAACAAGTAATGCCTAACAAAAGAATGGAATACAAAATAACATAAAGAGTTTTCAACTTCTCAGCTTCGTTTTGTATAGATCTCATTAGATCGAAATGACTGTTCGTAGGGGGAAAACATAACTCCTGGCCACAAATATAAGTCTAATCAATCCAAACAAAAATGAGCAATAGAATTAGGGTATTATTACTGTGAATGAAATCAAACCTTTCTGCAATAAAAATTATCAGAAACGTCGTCTTCCATGGTAAAACAATTAAGCAAAAGCAACGTGTCAATCAGTCTTCTGGAAAAATACTAGATCATTTACTTGCTTTACATACTTGAACTCACCGACCGTAAACACTCCGAGACATTAAATAAGAATACTTTCTTAGTGAAAGCAGTTTTTCCTTCTCATGTAGTAATCGAAATGCTCTCACCTCGTCTACAAAGAAATAACAGTACATTAGCTGAGTGAGCGATGGTTCTATTTGGACATTTTGAAGTCGAAGACTTAGCAACACCGTTATTTGAAGAGCGCTACAGACAGTCAAATAAATTCAAATCTGTCTTTGTAAAGCAAAGCTACGCTTCGCTTGAGATGAATTGTGATTTATGACTCTTTGTTTGTCAGTTGCAAGCCGTTATGGTAGAGACGAATTCAAATTTTCGAACTGTCAGACATTGCAACATAGACATCCAGACAGCAGACGGACTTACGAATGAATACTTTTATTTCTGTCTAACAGCGTGGTCAGCCTGCCATTTACTTACACTAACTGTTGGAAGTGAATAGCAGAGTCTGACCTCGCTGGAAACGGTTGGAGCGTCTCCCTAATAAATAGTAAATCATTTAAAGCTCCTTCGAGTTTAATGGTATTGTTATCTATTCATTTCTTGAATGCAACTGAAGGAGCTAAATTATGACCTTTCAAAAGTTCTGTGCAGAATTTTCTACGAAGGGAATTAATGAGCAAAACCGTAAGCTCAAGAATTTAAAACCAGTAATTCCGTTTGTTCTGCACATTTTACACCATCTTGTATGCTACAGTCAACTAAAATCCCCATAAGAGCCTGTAGAGAGATTGTATAAAAAACTAAAAATGCATGTATTTATCTTTAAAGCTTCGTATCAAATTAAGTACAAAAATACCTGCGCGATCGGAAATGAACAGTTTGGAGGAAACTGGATATGCAGACGACACTGGCAGTATCTTGAAAGAGTAGAAATTCGAGATTTACTTGCTTATCAAAAGTGAGTTCAAGAATGTGGGCTAATATGCACTGCAACCAGTTATAAAATGATTAATTTACTGATAAAAGCATAAATTTCTACCATCAAGTACGTGGACACCTATCTTCAGAAACTGCAGCTTCTACGCCCGTATTGATGCAAACGCTTCACAGCACATCAACGGGCATCTGGCAAGATTGCAACTGAAAATAAAAGTGATTATCCAGACGAATCATAATAGTTTTCTCCCATTATTGTTAGTTATATTTTAACCTTATAATCACAAATAGATTAAACTTATGAAGTAATCGCAACACGTAAGGACCCGCTACAGGCGCTCGCAGTTTCCATTTCCGAGTCTCGGTAATTCTCAGGGTTGGGTGACTCAAAACTTGGGTTCGGACGCTTCTTGGAGGTTAGGTCAGTGCGCACATTACATGACCCTCGCCTGCGCCTGAAGCATTAGTTGTGTAAATGAACGCCTAAGTTATTACAACACTGAAAGCTTTTAAAAGCTTTCATCACCTTCCCTGACAATGATTTACCCCAAAATAGTCACACATTATCCAAAACTTAAATAATCATTAAATTCTTACCAACGATCACGCTGAAAACAGCGCACACAGTCAAAGGTTCACAGAACATCGCAGCGCACAATCTGAAAATTCGTTCAACTGCAACAAAGTAAAAGAATAACGAAGTAATAAACTACAGTTGATATTATTATATACAGAAATCCTACTACGTGACCAATCATCAAACAATAATACAAAAGTTGT